AGGCAGCTAAAAACATCCCCAAACCATGCTTTTTCGCTGCCTTTACTGAGACTAATTTTCACAAACATCATTTTGAAAGCGGGCTGTAACGTGCCCGAAGAGGAAGCGCGTGCCCCAGGGTGCAGGCACACACGTAGCTGGGTGTCCTAGAGGAAGGCATGCCTCCTTTTCCAGCCTCAGTTTCTTTATCTGCAACATGGGCTTGTGTGAACAAAGGGGACAGGACCAGATGACCCCTTAGTGCTTTAAGGTTCTTAGGCTGAACCCGGAATTTTGAGAGTGTGGCCTTGTCCATCTGCTATGCCCAAGTGGCTTGCTGCCCTTGGGGACAGAGCTCTCGGAGAAGAGGATCCTGAAGAATGCTCCATTTCCCCAGCCTGGCAAGGCCAGGCCAGGCCTGGGCCCCCGCCCCAGCTCTCCAAACCCAGGATCCCTAGCCAGCTTCTGTCTCATCCCCTCTTCCCTTCTCCGACCCTGTCTGCTTCCCCACACCCCCCTTCACTGTATTCTGGCCCCAGGGCCTTCTTGCTGGCTTCTCAAACATGCCCAGCAAGTTACAGCTTCAAGGCTTTACACTTGCCATGCCCTCTGCCCCAAATGCACTTGTCTCAGATGTCCACGTGGTCCCCACCTGACTTCTTTCAGGCTCCTGCTCAAATGCCAGACCCTCCCCCGCCCCAGGAGGCCTTCTCCAACCCTCTACCCAACGAGCACCGGTCACGCCACATCTGTTCCCTGTGAGTACTTGTCACCACCTGCTCTATGGAGTCTGGCTGCCCCCGCCAGAATATCAGCTTCCTAAGGTATGACCTTGATCGTTGCTGTACCCCCGGCACCTAGGACCTGGCACAATAGGCATTTGCTGGAGGAGTGAGCAAATGAATGACTATGCAGGGTAGGAGGAGGTTCCCCCCATTCCCCCAGCCCCACCTCTTCCCCAGTAGACCCCTCTGGTCGTGTAGCGTTTGAGATACCCACCCAGCTCACAGGACGGTACAGCTGGTGGAGTTCTTGGAGACCCAGCTATAAAAGGGAAGACCGAGGCCTGGAGGGAAAAGGGGCGCGTTCACTCAGCTCCCCAAGGTCACAGAGCAAGTTGTCCTGAGCAATTTTCCTGGTGTCAGGAACCTGCAGCTTCTGTATCTGCACAGGCCACCCCAGCCCACACTGGGCCTCCAGCCATTGCCTCTGCTGAACTCCTGTCCCTATGAAAAGATGCCAAAGGATGCCACTTCTGACTCAGACCAGGAGTCCCTTTCTGCCTCCAAAGGGGACAGGGGTGTGAAGGAAGTGACCGTGTTGAGAGTCTGCTCAGGGCTGGGTGTTTTGCATACACGCTCTTTCTCCTGTCACCTTCACCACAACCCAGTGGGGTAGGAGCAATTGTCCCCATTTCATGGATGAGCAAAGTGAAGCCCAGAGAAGGGAAGACGCTCACACAGGTCACACTAAGCCACGAAGTGGCCCAGTGAAGCACATCTTGTTTTCTGATCTGTTAAAAGCCATCTGGGGCTAGAGCTGCAACCCCAGGAGCTCCCTGTTCCAGAGGGAAAGCTGTCAGTCAGTGGGGAGCTCATCTCCTCCTTTCTCCCACGCCACCTGCCACCTGCCACCCGCCAGTGTCACATGCATGCGGGGGTGCCTCCCCTGGGAGGCTGTGCAGGGAGCCCTGAAAGCCGCACCTTGTGGGGGTTGGCAGGGGATGTGCACTTGTCAGGGGCACACACGTGCTCGCTTGCTCAGTCTCTCTCTCTCTCTCTCTCTCTCTCTCTCTCTCATTCTTTCTCTCTCCCTCTACCACTTTCCTTCTCTCTTCCTCCCTTCCTTCTTCTCTCTCTTTCTCTGCAGCTCTCCCAGAGGCATGTCAGCCTGCTGGGTCAACGGCCCCCAGATTGGGGGCTTGCACGGAGAAGCCTCCACTGTCAAAAATGGAAGGGAACCTTGGAGACCAGCCCAGCCCGCCCCCCTTCCTTGTCAATAACACCTAGAGCGCTGTATGTCAGAATTAGGGCAGGCCTGGGGCGAGATCAGGGTTCCTTCGAGAACTTGCACTAAGCATATCCATTAATGGCAAGGGCTCCAATGTCAGACCACCTGGGCTAGAACCTGGGTTGTCGCCCAGCTGGCTGACCCCACACAAGTTCCTTGATGTCTCTGAGCCTCCATTTCCTCATCTACTTTAAGATAATAGTTACTGAGCCCTGTCTCAGTGACAGGCATGGCTCTGTGCTCTGTACCTATATTTACTCCTCCAAGCAACCTAATGAAGCAGGTGTTCCTGTCATCTGATTCAGATCTGAGGGAGCTGAGGCACAGAATGGTTGCGTAGCTAGTTCAAGGTCACACAGCTGGGAAGCAGTGGAGCCAGGATCTGATTCCAGACAATGAGGCTCCACAGTCCCTGAGTGTGACCACTATACCGGCCTACAGTCCTCTGAGGAGTAAATGAAATGCGGTGTGTGAAGCACCTAGCACTGTACTCGCTCAGAGTCGGCTCTCATACGTGGTTACTGTGCTCATAACCAACAACCTCATGGACCTCTTGAAAACCTGACGAAAGACACAGGCCTTCCTGAGAGAAGAGTGCACACACAAAGCATCGCACACAATTCAGGCTATTCCTGCTCCTGAAGCCCCCCATGGGCCCACCTTGGGAACCTCTGCTCAAGCCCAACCCCGTTATCTCACACACTAGGGAGGAAAGAGGAGAGGTCACGTTGAGTGTGTTCACATCCTCTGACTTCATTTGATCGTCTGAGGTGGGAATTACGAGTATTAGCCCATTGGGCAGATGAGAAAACTGAGGGAAATGTCGAGGTCCCATACTCAGCAGGCAGCAGGCACGACTTTCCTCTTCTCGGGGGGCTGCCCCCTTCTCCCTGGCTGTGTGTTGCCTGGCCCTGAGGCCAAGGTAAGAAATGGCGTCCCCAGGGACATGCCCAGATGTGGTCTGCACTCAGCGAAGGATATTTGGTGAGTGAGTGAGTGAGTGAGTGAGAGAAATGGGGTTATGAGTGGGTCCCCACTGGGCTCAGCCATGTCAGAGCTCCCCCCTGACCCAGTGCCTCTCCTGGGCCTTCATGACCCTTCATGGGAAGGAGGCAGAGGAAGAAATGCAGAGAGAGTCAGAGGAATCCTGGCATGTCAGAATCCACCCCCACAAACCCCTCATTTACAGGCAAGGAAACTGAGGCCCCGAGCCTGACTTGACAGAGTCACACAACGGGGTGAAGGCCAGGACCGGACCCCTAGACCAGAGCTCGGGCAGCGGTGGTCAGAAGCACCTGAACTTGGAGTCAGAGCATTTGGGCCCAAATGCTGTCATTCATTAGTGTTGTGACTTTAGGCAAACCGCATGGCCCCAATGTCCACATTTGCAAAATGATGATAGCCTCTACCGTGTACAACTATTTGCTATTAGAATTGAGCAATTTGACAATTTTCTAGTTGAGGCTGTCCAGCATGTTCCCCTCATCTGTCGAAAGAAGATAGCTAGGCTGTTGTGAGGATTAAATGAGAAAGTAGGCAGAGTGCCTGGCTTAAAACAAGTGTTCCGTAAGTGGTAGCTATTACTATAAATTTTACACTTACAATGCTGAGCACACAGGATATATCTCTATGAATGTTGTATGAACAAGCGGATGGACCAATAGCCAGGCTGACAAGTTGGTTGGCACAGCAGTAGGAAGTGGGGTGGGGAGGTGGATGGATGGGAGGAAGGCAGTGAGTGGATGGATGGATGGATGGGTGGATGGGGAAATTGGTAAGAGGAGAGAGAGGTGGATGGATGAATAGGTAGATCAATAGACAGGCAGAGAGATAGGTTTTGGGCAAACAATAGGTGGATGAGAATGTAATGGAGGGAGGAAGGGAGGGATGAGAGGATGGACCAATAGCAAGAGACTGGTGGCTATTCAGAACAGTGGATGGATGGATGGATGGATGGATGGATGGTGGATGGATGGATGGTGGATGGATGGTGGATGGATGGATGGTGGATGGATGGTGGATGGATGGATGGTGTATGGATGGTGGATGGATGGATGGATGGATGGATGGTGGATGGATGGATGGATGGATGGTGGATGGATGGTGGATGGATGGATGGATGGTGGATATGAGGGTGGGGTAAATGGTAGCTGGGTGGAAAAATGAATGAAGGAACCAGGGGGAAGGAAGATAGAGAGGTGGGTGGATGGAAGACCAGAGAGTGATAAGTGGTGGNTCAACTTCTTTCATGTGAGAGGAAAAGAAGACACTATGTTGCAATTTCTAACTTCATGGGATAATTGTGAGAATTCCATGCAGTGACCCATCCTAACTGGTAGCTATCGCCATTATCTTTATCCTCATTGCTGCACCAGCCTGCCTGCTGCTCGCATCCCCAGGGGATGCACTTATCCATACAGCCCTTTACATCCCTGATGCCTGGGGCTCCCTGTCTCCACATTCTGTCCTCCCACTGGCTATAAAGACAGGACCTGAAGCTCGGACTCTCCCCAGCCCACACAACTTCTCAGCCCATGATAAGAGGTTCAAACTAATTGCTGATGCCTAGGACCCCTAAGGCTCTGTCTCTTCATCTGTAAAGATGTTAGAACCAATAGGGCCAGGCTGCTGGCCAGCCCTTCCCCAGTTGCTGAGCTCCTGCCACACGAGTCCTGCACGTCTCAGACTCCCAATGGCACAAGGGTTAGGAGCTGGTGTTCTGCAGGAGTGCAGATCTTGTCTGAATCCTGGCTCTGCCATTTGCTACCTCTGTGACCATGGACAAGCTACTTAACCTCCCTGTGCCTCAGTTTCCTCGACTGTTGAGTGGATGGGATAATAGTACCTACCCACGGAGAGAATGCAAGCTGCACATCCAATACCTACTCTCCCCTTCTTCCTTGGTAACAACATACTAATTTGGGGGAGAAATATATTTAATCTTAACGAAGCTAGGAGGAAGGCAAAGGGGGCGATAGCCCACATTACAGATGAGGACACTGAGGCACAAAGAGCAGTGACATAGGTCACCCAGCAAGTTGGTGGCTGAGCTGGGACTTGAACCCAAATCCCATCCTTTCGGGGCCTCTCCTTCCGTCCTGCCACCCGCCCCTGGCCCCGCCTCCCACCTCCAGGTACTTGACGGGGATCTTGTGCTTGGTGGCATGCGACTGGGCCAGGGGCTTCAGCTCCGCCTCGTGCTGCCCCTTCTTCTTCAGGATGCCCCCCAGGGCGGTGAGCACAACGGCCCCGTGCTTCTTCAGGTCCTCGGAGGCCTTCATGTCGGCCTCTGACTTCAGGTTCTTGAACTTGTCAAACTTCTCCAGGGTCTCAGGGTGACCCTTAAAGAGACTGTGGGCACAGAGAGGGCTGGAGTCAGACGTAGGCATGCACAGTGGGGTCTGCAGGTGGCCAGGCTCCCNTGGATGGATGGATGGATGGGTGGATGGGGAAATTGGTAAGAGGAGAGAGAGGTGGATGGATGAATAGGTAGATCAATAGACAGGCAGAGAGATAGGTTTTGGGCAAACAATAGGTGGATGAGAATGTAATGGAGGGAGGAAGGGAGGGATGAGAGGATGGACCAATAGCAAGAGACTGGTGGCTATTCAGAACAGTGGATGGATGGATGGATGGATGGATGGATGGTGGATGGATGGATGGTGGATGGATGGTGGATGGATGGATGGTGGATGGATGGTGGATGGATGGATGGTGTATGGATGGTGGATGGATGGATGGATGGATGGATGGTGGATGGATGGATGGATGGATGGTGGATGGATGGTGGATGGATGGATGGATGGTGGATATGAGGGTGGGGTAAATGGTAGCTGGGTGGAAAAATGAATGAAGGAACCAGGGGGCAGGAAGATAGAGAGGTGGGTGGATGGAAGACCAGAGAGTGGTAAGTGGTGGATCTTCCTTCTCTTGAACTGAAGCCGAGGAGCTGGCAGTGGCAGCTGCAGAACCGACACGGATGTCCACCGAATGGGGAAGAAAAAAAGTCAGGAGCTTCTTGCTCCAACAGGGTGACCCTGGAAGTGGGGCACTGAGCAGTCGCGTATGGTACCCCAATGTCTGTGTTTGATTAGAAGCCCTGTGGAGCGAGATGACTAGGAGGAGAGCACACACAGGGGCCTGACCTTCATATGGACACAACGTTCCTCAATGTCAAGTGCAGTGGGAGGGTTGCCCTAGGAGGGCACAGCTTCCTCTACAGCCTAGAAGGGACTCTTAGCTGGAGAGGACTTGGCAAAGGCAAACCAAAATGTGCCCCTGGGGACTCTTTGGTTTTAGCTGTAAGAACAAAATGTCCCGTTCATCATCGAAGGGCTCTGCAGCAGGAGGGACCTGCTGTGGGGAGGGAGGGGCCTTGGGCTTCATCGCTGACACAGCCACTGATGTGCTAAGTGGGTTTGGACAAGCCCCACCCCCTCCAGCCTCCTCTCCTCACCTGTAATTGGACCCAAATCATCTCCAAGGTCCCTTTTAGTGTTGACACCTTATAACAATCACAGATTTCCAGGAGCATCCTAGGGACGGGTGGATTCCTGGAAAGGGGTTGAGGAATGGCCATAATGCTCCTCAGATGGTGACCCAGGGTCTAAGGGCTTATTCAGGCTTCAGGGGCTTAGCTGACAAGGAGGACACCTTGGGATGGCGCCCCATTTCACTCAAGCGAAAGCCGAAGTCCATCCACTGGCCACCGTGGCCTTTGGCTCTGCCTGAACCCCGCCACCTCTTTGGTTTCTCCTCCTGTCACTGCCCCGTCACTCACCCTACTCAGGTCACACTGGTCTCTCAGCGTTTCTGGAACAGGCCGAGCGGCCCCCACCCCGATCTGCCTGGCACACCCCTACCCCAGGGAACCATGTGGTCCCTCCCTCAGGTCCTGTATGACCTGCTTAAATCACACCCCTTGCTCCCGACCCCAGCATGCCGTATCACCCCAGACCTTACTCCTTTTTAACACATTCTTTAATGTACTTATTTTGTTGATTGTCCGTCTTCCCCAGCACCAGAATGCCAGTTCTGAGGGCAGGGACTTTTGCGTTGGGTTCTGTGAAAATTAATCAAGGAAACCTCAACTAAAATTCGTGCCAGGAAGACCAGTAGAGGGAGCTCTCATGTCCTGTCACTCCTGGTCAACTACCTGCAACAGGAAGCGATAGACTGCACCTATTTTACTAGCCTGGCAAATGCAAGGAAGATTCTTCTTCTTGCCCAGCAAGAAGCCCAGCCAATGGAAAATGCCACAGCTCAGCCAATGGGAAGCCAGCAGCACCCAGAACTCTTACTTTCCTCCAATGAACTTTCTTTTATTTTTTGCTAATGACTTCTTTGTTCCACCCTCCTTTCCATAAAAACCTTCCATTTTCTATAATTCCTCAGAGTTTCTCTGTTTGCTAGATGAGATGCTGCCCAATTCATAAATCATTTGATAAAGCCAATTAGATCTTCAAATTTTCTGAGCTGAATTTTGTTTTTTAATAGTTCCTGGCGCGCAGTGTGGCACAGTATTATTTGAGGTTATCCAAGAACTGTAGTGTGATCATGAGGAGGGCAAGCAATAATGGAGTGTTTACCATGTGCCAGGCACAGGGCTCGCTCCTGGGTTCCTCATGGCACCCCCACAAGGTACACTGTTATTATCTCAGAGAAGAGGCTCAGAGAAGGAGTTTGCTCAGGTCCCACTGCAAGGCCGGGACTAGAACATGCCAGAGTCTGGTCCAGGGTCATTCCACAAAAGCTCATGGAGTTAGCGGAGTCCCAGCCCTGTCACCATGGGACCTTGACCTTGGATAAGAGCCTTCTTCTCTCTGAGCCTTGGTTTCCACATCTCTAAAATGGGACGGCAGCACTTTGCTTTTGCAGGGCTGTTGTGAGGACTGAGGATGCCAACGGATGTGAATGCTTTATGTAAGAACCGTGCCTGTGTCACTGGGTGTTACGGTATCATTGTGCTCCACATGCATGGGCGGGGAGAGCCAGTCCTCCAGATAATCCCAGGGCCCCTGGCTTGGTTTATGGTAATCCAGGATAATGCCACTCACAGCTGGTTTAGGATCAAAGATCAAGTCCCTTCTTTCTAGGCAGTTCTTTCCTCCCAGCTCCACTAGACAGTCCCTCCAGGGGACTTCTCACAGCTGTCCGGACAGGGCCGCTGGGAGGAGCAAACCGGGGCAGGGACAGGAAGACCTCAGTGCTTTCCCAGGCTGAAGGCCACCAAGGAGTTGCTCTTGAATTCCTCCACCACAGCTGGGCTGCTCCCGAAGTGGCTTTCCCAGACCCTGCTGGCCTCAGTCTGCTGGGGATAAACATGGTAGAGCCCCGCTCCCGAGGGGGAGGGGAGAGCCTTGTGAAGAGGAGGGCTCTGGGGGTCCGGGGCCTGCACACTGTCAGCATGGGGTCAGGCAACTCCAGACCTCAGTCTCCTCACCTGGAAAATGGGTTTGGACTAGACGATTTCACCCAAGCTGCCCAGGGCTGGAGTTCAGAAGAACAGAGCAAGCAGCCCCAGGACCTGCCCAGGAGACAGGACCTTCCCCCACTAGCCTCTCTGAATTAGGGGCAAATTGTTCCCTAACTCTGGCCTCAGGCTCCACATCTGTAAAATGGGCTAGCTGAGCTGGAAGACCCTGGAAATCCATTCCTGCTCTGCCGTTCTTTTATATCTGGAAGATGAAATAGGATTAGGGCTGGGAAGAAAAGAGCATTTAGTAAGCTCCAACTGTATGCATGCCAGCTGCTTTTTGAACATTATCGCACTTGTCTGTGTATTAGTTTCCTATGGCTGCTGTAACAAATCACCACAACCTTGGTGGCCTGAAACAACACATATTTATTACCTTACAGTTCTGGTGGTCTGAAGTCCAATATCAATTTCACTGGGTAAAAGGTGTCAGCAGGGCTGGTTCTTTCTGGAAGGCTCTAGGGGAGAATCTGTTTCTATCCTTTTCTAGAATGGACGATGTATTCATTCCTGCATCGCATGGTCTTTTCTTCCTCTGCTTCCCCTGTCCCATTTCTTTCTTCCCACTCTGACCTTCCCACCTCCCTCTTAGAAGGATCCTTGCAATTACATTGGGCTCATTGGGTAATCCAGGATAACGTTCCTATCTCAAGATCCTTAACCTAATCACATCTGCAAAGTTCCCCTTGCCAAGTGTTTTTGGGATTAGGATGTGCATATCTTTGGAGGGCCATTATTCAATTTACTACATCTGTCAATACAAATCTGTCGTGGAGCTCCGTTTCGAATCCCAGCTTCTGACCCTTGGTAGCTGTGTGATCTTGGGCAAGGACCTAACTTCTCTGGACCTGTTTCCTCACCTGTAAAATAGAGACAATGACAGGATTGTTAGAGTTAGTGCAGGGAAAGCTCTGAACACAGTGCCTGCTACCGTTGTTGAGTGGATATATATAGCAACCGAAATGATGATGATGATGATGGTGATGATGATGATGGTGATGATGGTGATGATGATGATGATGGTGATGATGGTGATCCCTCTGGTTTACTGAGGACTTACTATGTGCCAGACACTGAACTGAGTATTGAGTTTATGTAGGTGAGCTAGATAGGCATGATCCAGTCACTCAAGGGAATTACAGACTTAGAACAAATAATCACAAATAATTAGGTAATTGCCATAGAGGCTCAGAGAGGCCCAAGGTCGCACAGCTGGGAAGAGGAGAAGTGGGTGGGATTCACACCTGTCTGTCCGATTCCCAAGCCCTTATTTTTCCATGCCACTCCTAGTCTCAAGACTGATTGAGGCCCGCAGAGGACCCGAGATGGGAAAGGACTTGCCAAAGGCAGACCCAGTTCTCTGGGCATCCTGCCCAAGGTTCTTCTCAGAGGACACTTGGAGATGTAAAGTAGTCATGACTGGTGCCAGACAGTGCTCATTGAGTCTTACTCTGGGCCAGGAGGTGGGACAGACATCTTACATGCCCGGTGTCACTGGGTCTTCATGATACCCTGGAGAAGAAACTTGTTAGCCTGTTTCACAGACAAAGAACCTGAAGTTTTAGGTTGCATGACATGCTCAGGGCCACCTGGAGAGTTAATTGCCCAGCAGAGACCCAGGACGCCCACTAAGAGGAGGGCCTGGCATGGAACCTCCAAGTTCAAGTTTGCTTGACCCTAAAATCTGTCTTTAACCCTGGCATACCCTGCCTCTGCCAGCTGGCTGGTCTGCAGTGGGAGGCTGTGGTCCTGAGGGGTTAATGCCAGGCTGGAACTCCTCCTGAAAGCAGCCTTTGGGGAGACAGATGACCTGCTGGTGCCACCTAGCGGCCTTTAGGAAACATGCCGCTTCTCCCAGGAGCCTCAAGGACCCAGA